TGCTATGAATTTACATAATTTCAAGAGACAAAAACAACAAAAGACAACAAACAAACAGAAGACAAATCCATTGCAAGTGTCTCAATGCAATGAAGCAAACTGTGACTCAGGAAATTCCAAAGCTTCAAAACTGTTGGAGGCTGGGACTGCATTTGGAGAATCTATTACGAGACATTGTTTTTAGCATTTTTTAGGCATTAACTTTTACCTACTGCTGGTTAAAATACTTGGTCTGACCTAGTGTGGTCATTCTTCATAGGAAACCTCATTCCTTTTCACTGGGTCTTTCTACAATTATCTTGTTACCTCATTACCTGGGTCTGGTTCCAAAATTAAGTGTGTGCACCCACAAAAAATTCAGAAACCCTAGGAGTGAGTTCAGCATTAATCTCACCCAGTATTTACCTTCATTTCCCTATTCAATCAAGCCCAAGGCTAAACAGGTAGCTCTATCATAACTCATATCTACTCTTCTGTCTCTCCTCTCTGCAACAAGTGGGCTTTGCTAACAAAAAACACAACAGCTTTTAGGATGTGCATTTTTGTGTCCGAAAAAGTGCAGATCTTAGAGGTTTATACCAGCCCATTCTATTGAATTAACAGTGAACTAGACACAGGAAGGTAAAAGGAATAGTCATACATTCAGACTACTGGTAGTGCGTTCTTCAACTGCTTGCTATTACAGATGCTTGCACCAAAACATGGAACAAGACAAAGAAGAATTAAGTTTTGCCAATATGTTTATAGATATAATAAACAAGATATTTCAGTACATTTATATTTTGGACACAGAATTTTCAGTGCATGAATTTACCTTTAGATGTAGAAATAAATTCTCCTGTATCCTATACATTTCTTTAGCTGCTTCTACAGATACACCACATTTTACAGGGGGCAGACAAAGCAAGTAGAGCACTATTCTGCCATGTTCTTGGTTTTTACTTCAAATCAGACAACTTGGGGAGCATGGTTTATGCCAACATTGTCACAATTTCTCAAAAGAACATCAAAAATCATTTTTTATGTTCTTCAATCAATACAAACAAAATCTTGCTATCTGCTCCACCCCTGCTCTGTTATCAGCACCAAGGCCATGGTGACTATGAACTAAAACAATAGACTCAACAACAAGGTGGTACTGGAATTGCATTTTGCTTGTGACAGGGAATTTTTCTCTCCTTTTTCCCAGAGCTTATCTACAAAAACTAAATTATCTCCCTGAAATGTTTATTTCTGTATGCTTTTCAGATAAGAGTGCCTGAATGAATTATTCAACAGTGAAGAATCATGCTGTCTTGCCTCACTCTACTGTTATGATGCATGGATATATATGGAGACACAAAATGTTCCTGAATTTTAGTTGAACAGGAAATCCAGAGAAACAATAGCGGAAACATATTAAATGTAATTTTGAAAATTGAAGGGAGTTGTGTTTTAACTCTATTTTATATGTATTTCTGATATTGAAACAAGCAAATGAATGTACCATTTGTGGTAAGATTTTGTTGCTTAAGCCCAAGATACAATGCCAGTTAATACTCCAACCCCATTTTCTGAAGTTCTCTCTTCAGCTGCATGTTAGTAGTGCTAAAGGATCTAGTGCTGGTTTTTTCTATGCACACCGAGTGCATGGAAATGTGGAAAGCTAGTTTAACCTACTAGGTTTGACTAGCCAAAGCAAAAGGGCTCTGTGGGTCAACCAGTAGAAGTGTCTCAAAGTTACATCACTGTTAAAACTGATAGTCTCCCATCACTGTCGGTCTCTATGACCTTAATAAATACGAAACAACATCAAATATAAGTCTGAAACAAGTGTTCAAGACATGACATCTGTGTTGAGAACATGAATTAATTCAACATCTACAGCACCATTTCTTTCAGTCACTGAGAGCAGATGTCCCATATCTGCCTCTCATTCAAAGGAAAGGGAAAATAAGAGAAAAAATCAACACAGACACACATCTGGCCATTCTGTATACAACAGCATCAGAAGGAGTCCTCAGGTGGGAAGGATGGAGAGACAGACAGAAGATTCCCTGCTTTGGTACCTGGTGGCTACTCAGGTACTTGGAACAATACAGTTTAACTGCTAAGGTGCCTGGTAGCTAACAGCAAAGCACATCACTCTTCTAATAAACATTTCCGTATTTCTGTGAGCATAACTTGCATCACTTTGGTGGCAGGATATATATAGCATGTGGACCCCAAAAGATTGTGAGGTTTAAAAGCTGTTGAGCTGCACAGCAGAGAACAGAACAAGAGAAGTTGTTCTCTGATATAACCGCTTCCCTCATTGCTTTTTAAAATGTGAAGTGGCCTTCAAACTGACTAGTGTCAAAAACACTGTCACTGTTTGATTGGTAAGCTGAACGGTCTGGGTAATATTCAGACTGGTTGGTACGACAAAGGTTTAAATAATGGGAAAAGCTGATACAGGGATTAAAGGATAGAAAACATAATTAGTGCCAGTCAGCATGGTTTTAGGGAACGTAGGCATTATCAAACAAATTAGATTTAAGGTATTTGGACTCATGAGGCATTTGACTTTTTATCACATAGCTTTCTGTTTCAAAAAAACGTACTAACAGCAGCTCTGAGGGACTGTATCCTACAAAGGACTGAGAAACTGTAACAGGAATAAGGAATTGATTTATTCTTTATTGCCTGCAGTGATTCTCTGACAAAAACATGGTAAATGTAAAAAAGGTTGTTTATGGAAGCAGAGCTGCACAAAGGAGTAAAGAGGCAAAATCACCTCTGGCACTGGCAGAAACAGCACTGGAGAATCATATACAGATCTTTTGCTAAATGTTAAAGGGTATGTTGAAGTGCTTGAGGGGATTTTGAAAAAAATCACAAGGATTATTTACTCTGGGAGGGGGTAGGGTGAGTGAGCAGCTGTGTGGTGTTTGGCTGCCAGCTGAGTTCAGGCCACGACATCATTTTAGGGAAGAGGACATCCTGAACTAGCTGCAGGGAGTGAGATTTTGCAATCACGTTTTAAAATCCAGGCTCATTTTAGCACTAGCATTTAGCATCGCTCCATGGTATTGCTGGGACAAACTGCTGCTCTGAGGACACAAGGGCAGCTGGTGTGCTTGAGCCGAGGCCTAGGCAGGGGAAAATGCAACTCTATAACCTGTGAGGTGACTTTGTAGAGAAAACCTGATCAGGCCTGTCCCAGCCCTTTGCTCTACAGACTGCTTTCTTGATCATAAAGACAGGTCCTGTGGCAGGGACTCTTACCTAGACCTCCAGGTGGTTCTGACCCCTTTTGAAAGAGCTTGCTGAGCTGGAGCTGCTGTTCATGCCTTTTTTTCCACAGCAGAGGCTCTGCATTTTGCTTGATGAGAAATAGTGCAAGGAGAAACATATTTCTTCTGTAATTTTCAATAAAAAGATAAGTTATATGATTGTGAACTTTTAACCTCCATAAGACAAACTTCTACCCACATTATTAAGTGTCCTGGAAAATACCGAGATCCAGGCAGTAGGGGAGGAGATTCCCTGGCAAGGTCCTTCTTTGTGATCTTGCTGAAAGGAAGCTTACTGCCCACACAAGAGCACACTCTCCTGAAGTGAGCACTACAAGCTCATTCACTATTCACTTACTGTTTCTGGGTGAAAACTGTTTCTGGCCCTGTTGAACTCACAGGCCAACTCCTATTGACTTCAATGACCTAATAAGAACCCTGGGAGGGCAGGCAAGCCATGTAGGCATTAAGGTCTGTATCTATATCACAAATACTAGTGAAACCAACAGCCAAGAGGATACTGGGAACCCATGGAGGCATTTCCAGGAAAGACTATGCAAGCGTTAAAGTGCTGTTGCAAGATGACTCCAATTTCTCTCCCACTCATCTTTCCTCTTTTTATTCCTTCCTAGGGATGAGGGAAAACCAGCACAGAACCTGCTAAGTCCCTTGTCCAACTAGGCCTGGCCTAAAACTGCTCAAAGAAGGCATAAGAAGGCAAGACATAACCTTACTGGGTCTCACCAGTGATCCAGCTGTCGCAGTATGGTTCCAGCAGTGGGAGACACTATTTCAGAAGAGCACGCAAACCTGGCCACTTTCCACAGTATATTCCTGAGGACTGCTCAGCATCAATGGCTACTGTATTAGGGATGTTATACAGTACACTTCTGCCTCTTCCCTTTAGTATTTATTTATGGACCTTTAGTCCATTATATTTTCCATTCCCCTTTTGAGCCAATTAATACTTTTATTGCTCACAACCTTCTGCAGAAGCTTCCAGTAGTTCACCATTCACTGTGTAAAGAAGTAGTTTCTATTATTTTCATTAAACTGCTCTCTCCTTGATTTGTGTGCCCTGCAGTTCTGGCATTGCATGATTTAGCAAACAGCAGTTCTGCATCTGTTGTTTGCTATCAACTGCCTTCACAATTTGGAAAACATCAGTCACATCCCCTCCTCCTTCAGAACTCTCTCTCCAAACTGGAAAGTCCCGGTCATTTTCATTTTTCCTGTTTTCCAGTCCTCCTTCTCTGTATCTTTTCTAACTATCATTCTTGCAATACAGATACCGGACTATATTCAGTAGGCAAAATGTGCGTGCACCAAAGTTTTGCACAGTGGAAAAATCATGCTTTCTGGTTTGTTCACAAGACAGCACTGAGACAGGACTGACATTATTCTGAATAAATATGCCTGACACCACCTCCAAGAAATTTATGTCATGGGCCTGTCAAAGCTCTCCTCCTCCTCTGTCTTCAATCTTTTCTTCACCCTCCTACTGCATGCTCACATTCCTCCAAGCCAAGTCCACACCACTCTCCCATTTTTCTGCTACACCTCCACTTTCCACGGCTCCCTTTCCAACTGTAGATAAGCGCAGGACCCTTCATGCACTGATTTGCTATGCACAAAACACTGCTGAACATGCTATGAAAAAGATATGGGAAATCCACTGCCTCATCCCACAGCTAGCTACCAAGAGACATCTGTGTTTGTCCTGCTGTTGGGGGCAGTTGTTATCATTTGTATAATGTAAAGAAACTCTTTTCACGTTTATCTTCTTGACCTTGTGCTTTACCTTGTGTATGAAAGTTTGTGGGAGCCAAGCCCAGCTCCTGTGCTCAGGGCTGCTGAGACTAGATGCACTTCAGCATCTCTGCCACAGTGCTTGCACCTCCCACAACCTTGGCTTCAGTGCTGAACATCACCAACCAGATGAGTCAAAGCAGCATTGCTAGCCAGGAGAAGGGATGTAAGGGAGAATAGGATCAAGCTCCACCTCTCCTTCCCCCTCATCTTTGCCTCTGCACAAAAAGTCCACTATTTTCACAGCTATTTTGCCAACACTGGAGAGAGGGTGCAGTGAAAAAAAGTGCTAACCAGGGTGAAGCATGCAGGCACCGCTTGTCTGTTAAAAGGAAAGTTGTCAGGCAAGTGGTTTAGTTTTGCACAGTGCACAGCTTGGGAAGGGCTTTTCTTCAGGAAAGAACTGAGACATCTTTGCTAAGGCTGCATAGATTTTGCCTCTCCCCCTTGTCTATGCCTTTAGGTCACTGCCTGCCTTATGCCTTTAGAGCTAGGGCTTCCCATGACACTCAAATCTGCTGTTGCTAAGGGTAATTTTCACTGGTTCTTTCCAGAGGAACATGTATTCTGACATAATCTTAAATAAAAATCACTAGGGGGATTTAGTCAAAGAAACTTAGTGTTGGTTTTGTTTTGCAGTGGAAACCTATAAAGCATATTTATCAGCAGTTTATATTCTAAACAAAGGGTCTGCTTTGGCTCATCATGAAATAACGGAATTCTGACATTGATTTGAGAATGATTAAACCCTACAAAAACATCTCAGCTGTTCTGAGACTAGACTATAATCCCAGACGCTTTCTCTATAATATTTAAAATAAAATGTTTCACAAATGAGCCTTGAGATCTTAAATTAATTTAAATTAATGAGAAATGCATAGCCTGGTGATTGTGTAACTTCATTGAAGGTACAGAGTTTATGACAATATGAGTGAAAAGAGAACATTTTTCCAAACATTACCCACAAGCAGAAAAATTATAATAAAAACATTCACTCTGTAGAGTAATACAAAATAAAATATTATCATCTGATCAGCTCAAGTAAGGCTGATATATATCTCTGAATTAACATTTCTCTGTACAGTTGCAGTAATTTTACAAACTGATACTCAGTTGAACATATTTATAACACAAATTATACACTATGTACAAACCTAGTTCTCCAATGAACTCTTTGTTCAGCATGCTTCAACACAGAAGTCATTTACCAGTTTCTAGGACAGGATGCTAGCTTTCCCCAAAACATGAAAAAAAATCCACTTGCTATCACATGGTGGTGTTCTTAAGTCACTTGTTTGTTACCATATGTTACAGAAGAATAGAACCAGTCACAACAATAAATATCATTGCTTATTATGAACACAGACTTATATTCATGCGATCACACTTTCAGCCTGAGTGCTTTTACAAGACTGTAGGATCCATTTATCTTTGCCTTTCTGAACACGTAGATCAAAATTGCAACTACGGGTACTGCTATAGCTGTTACACAGGAGAATGCAATAATCACTGGTATCATTTGATCTGGTTTTTCCAATCTTCCTGGAAATGGAGACAAAAGGAGAAAAAAAGTTCTGTAAAAACTAATTAAAACAGATACATGTATATTATTGTAAAAGCAGAGTTATTGACGCAGAACACTATTCCTGCTTTCATGCACAAAGCACAATTCAAAACATTTTCCTTACGCTGTTTTCTTTAGTAACTCCATATTGCACACTTTAATTCCTAGACATTATCTCGGTCTTGAATTTGCTATGCAAGTTCAAACCTGATATCATCTACAATGAATACCATGGAGTTCATGAAGAATACCAGAAGAATATGCGTATTTTACCCAGGGAACATCTGGGGACATTTCTACCTCCTGGAAACAATGCTTCAGGAGAAGACTGTGTTTAAAAAGCCCAATCATTAGATCTTTTTGTGAAACAGAACTTTATCTGGGTTAGTATCACTGTTCATACATGTGGACAGAAATGCAGCAAGGATCCACCTTCTTCTGGCTCTATCATTAAAGCTATCTCACCAACTCAGGTAAGAGAGACAATAACATCCACACTGAAAGGAGGTTAAATATAGCTTATTCTCAACAGCTGTTCTTTCATTTGGTTTGGTTTTGGTTTTGTTTTTTTTTTTAGGTTAACCGTAGTATTGCTGTGCAAAGATCAGTTATGAACTAGTGCTCACCTTTTCACAAAATTCATTAGAAAATTTGAACAAAATAAGTTGAAGGCAATAGATCTACCTACCTACAACAGCTATCTCAATCACTTTGATGTTGTTTCCAACCTCATTGAAAACATCAAGCAAGTATCTGCCTGTATCATTTTTGGTGACATTGTAGAGTATAAACGTTCCATTCACTGATGGGAGAATAATTTCTTTCTCCTGATGGGCTTTTTTCAGGACCATCTGTGATGGTGGGTTACTGTATGTGCTACATGTAATAGTGACGTTTTCTCCTTCTTTAACATTTTCTGATGGATATATTAAGACAGTAATGTTTTGGGGAGGAACTGAAATGAAAATAAATGCAAGGTTGGGTTTAGCAAAAAAACAGAAGCAAAAAACTCATGAGGTATCACCAGCTTATACACACAAAGTACTAATCCAGTTAATGGATTCATTATAATATTTAAGCACGTAGTTTGGGACACTACTCTGTCACTAGCTATGCTTCTCACATCACAGTCAACAGCAGCTGACAGAAAGAACATTTTATGAGTTGATGGAGTATGGTGCTTATCTTTTACATTATATGGAGTTTTTCTTCTTTTCTTATTTTAAATTCACTGTTTATTCATCTGGGTTCATGAAAGGACACAGACCAACAGACCCAGAGGTTGATGTCCTCTTTCAACAGGAGATAAATAGAAAAAGCAAAGGAAGAAGTCCTAGAATAGCATTTTTTTCACTAGGTTCCACAATTTTACATCCTGTTTTCAAAGGTGGAAGTGGAACTATAAAAAATTTTGAAGCAGCAATTATTTTGTGCATCTGCTGTTTTGGACAGAAGTTTTCATTAACACTAAGATCCTACCATTTATGACAAGAACCTGTGCAACTCCCCTCAGTTTTTTTAAAGACAATAAAATCTTAAAGGAATTGAAGATGTTATTCTGTCTGTCTAAAACAAATCCTAATATTAACTCTGTACAGTAGTTATTTTAACTAACCTTTGACATGAAGTACTATGTGCTGAGACCGCCCTCCCAGTTCATTAAGGATATGAATTCATATGTTCCTGTGTCGTTTAGCTAAGCCTGCCTACGGTACCTTGGCCATCTGCTGTTTCAAGGGTTGTGATCCCATCACCTATTCTCTTTCACAAAGTACTCTGAACAGATGTTAACATCAGGCAGCTGTGCAAGAGATGGGAACACCTTTTCCTTGCATCACTGTATTTGAAGGGAAAATTGCAAGCATATTTTTTGGTGCAGCTACAAAAATAGCAAAGAACAAGGAAGATACATGGACTAAAGGCAGCAGTGATCCCTAAGCAATACACTGTTGCCATACTATTAGCAGAAGCTGCAGGGGTAAAGCAGTGAAGTTCTCTTAATACTGAAAATGTAATTTTGTTGTCATTGCATGAAGGTGGAGGATTCAACATTTGGTATAGCTTAAATGTAGCTTGCGAGAACATGATACAGAGTCGTAAATTAAAGGAGAGCCTATAATACAGTCCCTCCACAGAGAAGTTTCAATATGTACTTTCTCTTTGAACCTTTTGTATGCAGGTATCTGGATCCTCCCCTGAGACCTGTTTAGAAGAAAATAAAGGCTCTGCATAGCTTCTTTGCCTCATGCATACATTTGCCAATTGGAAGGAGTGATGGAAGCCCAATTGATATGAGAACTTTGCATAAACTATCTGTACTAATGCAGATTTCACCCTTTACAGTTTAAATCTTCCTAAATGACTTAACTGCATTAGGGCCACCTTTTAATTCCATTGACATCAAAGACAGAATTCCCTGTCCTTCACAGAATGAGATCTGGACCTAAAGTACATAAACCAAAACACTTATGTTCTGTCTTGTTCTACTAACCTTGAACAAGTAATTTCACAGATTTTTCTTCTTTGCCAAATTGATTATAAGCTTCACATTCATAAAGCTCCAGATCTTGACTTTTTATTTTCTGTATAGTTAAAGTTGCACCTTCAGAAATTTTCTCAGACTCCCCAGTGGCCTTCTTTTTCTTCCAAGAGATCACAGGAGCTGGATTTCCAGAACTAGTACATTTCATCATCACAGTTTCTCCTTCTTTAACAGCAGTAGCAGGGATAACAGAGATAGTTGTATTCTTTGGTCCATCTGAAAGGAAAAATCCTGTCGTTAAACAACAATGGATTTTTTGAGAGATGGATTCAACATGTCCTACTGGATGCCAGGCTGCTGGCCTCCCAAAATTAATTTATTTTTCATTCTCAGAATAAAGCACATGGTATCAGAACTTCCATACAAACTTTCTGTAGCCTAAACGTACTAACCAAGTATGTTAAGAGGGTAGACGAGTTTCTTGCTTATTCAGATCCTGACTTAAGACTGCCATTACAATAAATATTTCATGTCTTTGTTCTGCTCATCAGCACTGCTTCTTTCTTTGAGGAAGAGCAGAGGACTACGCTGATTTTTTTTGTACTCACAGGGCTTTGTTTAGTTTGATAGTTACATTTATCACTGAAGCAAGTGGAGAATTTATTTATTTTATTTAGAACATTATTTTTAAATGATTGGGAAAACATTCCACATACTTACATTTCACATTAAGTGTTATTTCACTTTTACTTTTCCCAAACTTATTTTCTGCTACACATTCATAGTCTCCTCCATTTAGGAATGTCACAGATGGAAGGAGAATCCTCCCCTCGCTGTAAGGCCCCATGTCTGCATTGTCAGATTTTCTTCTTAAAATAATCTTGGGTGGAGGGTTACTCTCAGCAGAACATTGTATGGAAACATTTTCTCCTTCTTGAACGGTTGTAGAAGGTTTAACAGAGATTTTTGCAATGTTTGGAGCACCTGCATGACAAAAGAAAAGGCTGTTATACTAATGCAAAAGTACTAAAGATGGAGAGGGTTTTAAGAAATCAGGGATTGCTTGCCCAAGGATCTATTCATGTTGGTTTTGCTTCCATCTGGGATTTTTGGCTCTATTGAAATAGCAGTAATAGTAAGAATAATAATTTTTTTTAAATGTCCTAAATAGTTTTACTATTAAATGACTACTAAATTTACTACTAATGACTAAAACTACTAGCTCAGAGAAGAAGACTGATGTCCCTGTGAAATAGTTATGTACACTGGCACTTCATGGTCCATGAAATAACAGTGTTCCTCACATCACTACTTTCTCAGATTCTTTTATCACTTTGAGTATGTATGCATGTACAACAGCAGTACAGAGAGAATTAGCTGAAATTTAAAGATAGAAATGAAAAGCACAGCCCATGAAGAGCAGCAGTAAATTGAAAGCTAAATCCTGAATACATAACAAGGAAGGCCCCATAATTTCCTAATTTTCAGTGTTTCAGCATCTTCCATCCTAACAGGCAGCTGCCAATTGGGTATTGGATAATACATGTTAAATTAAAGCAGACTTGTACCTTGTATAACAATGTCCACAGTTGCTTCCTCTGTTATATTAGTTACCGGATTAATTACTTCACAGATGTACAGTCCTGAATCAGTGAAACGAGCATGGGGAATAGAAAGGACATTGTTTTCTATCAGATGCCGATTGCTTTCATCTGCTAGATGTTTTCTCCAAAATATTTGTGGGGCTGGATTACTCTCAGTCACACAAGTCAGTTTTAAAGGATCTCCTTCCATTGCCAAGTTGCCTGGAGATGCACTAATGATTGTATTTTGTGGACCAACTGTAAGAGAAGAAAAGAGAGATAAGGTCAGTAAGTTAATGAAGAAAGACATGCCCGTCTTTAACACTAGCTTCTCTAGAGGTACATTTCACACAATACCAAGAATGAATGAATATTGCGTATTCCAGTAACACAGTGGAACAATTTTTCCAGACTCGGTAAGACATTTAGTTTGCAGCTTTGAAAGCAAAACTAGACAATATATGTGTAGTTTTTTCCCTGACTCTTACATTTGTCTCCCTATTGTTTAGGTCTATAAACTTGGAACCACTTGGAACCATACAATGGCAATTTTAAAAACAATTGTTTATCTGTGTGCTGACATTTTTCTTCTGGTCTTTACCTTCTGACTGAGTGCCACTGTCCAGGGTAAGAGAGTGAGAGAAGAGTTACTAAAGCATTGCCTGAATTCTGTCATAACAACAGTGGGTATTTAATGACTCGGTGACTGCTACTGAATACAACAGAATTCAACAGAATACAATAGACTATCTACATAAAAAAACAGGTAAGAAGCACAGATCATAAACGATTTATAGCACACACTTTGTAAACCCGTTCCATGAAACTGAACATTAAACTTGGTGTGAAAGCCCTAGAATAAAAATACTTACAGTTTGCATTCAATTTCTGAGAAGTTACTCTTTCTTTGGGTTCAAAGTCCATAGTAGGAATTGGTAACTTTGCCACACAGGTAATGTCTTTCCCAATATCTTCAGCTGTAGGATTAAATGAATATGTCACAGTTTTGGTCTCTGTATTTGTGCTGTCATCTTCATAAAACTCTTTCTCATGAAGAACATGTTCCTCTTTCTTTAGGAGTACTTCCAGGCGATGAGAAGGATACACATCAGGAATTTTACAGGTGACAGTGACTGGTTCTCCAGCAACCAAGGATGGGCTGATCTCAATGATAGGATCACTGGGGAAAGCTGAAAGGATAAAATCCATTTCTTTAGTCTAGTAGAGATAAGTTCTAGGGTCAACATAAGAGCAAGATCCAGTCATCAAACATCTTGAACTTAGAGTCATTCAGAACATGATATCAACTTTATTACAAGAGATATCTTGATAGGAAGACATACAAGTCTTTCATAAGCAGTTCATACACTAACAGGAATTATATTTGTACAATTGTTGAAATATGATCACAAATTATCTACTAAGATCCAGCAAGGCACCTAGGCAGTGGTACAGCTGCCTAAATATAGGCATCCAGAGCAATCTATACACTGGTGGTATCCTATTTTCTGTGCTGGTAGGTTTAGACATCTGAGTCATTTCCCTGCAAACTGCAAAAGCTTTAATTTTTTTTTTCCAGATCTATGAATGTTTTGGGTAGTCTATGTTTCAAGTATTACCAAGAACAAGAATAAATAAGACCAGTACATACTATCTTCAGTGCAGAAAGCTAAGCAGAAAGGGGCTGAGAAAGTCCTGAACAGAGAGATAAAGCAATCTTTCAAGGAAATATATGCTGAGCTATAGCAGGCTCATTATCCTAGCATTATCAGTTAACTAACAACTACAGTATCTAAAAACAATTATGGATTTTTCTGTGAATGTGTACTATTTAAAGAGAATTTTACATTTGTACTTACAGTAAAGTTCAACTTTGATACTCTTCTCTTTTTTCCCTTTGTCACCACAGAAGACAGTACACAGATAATCATGAGAATTCACAATACTAACTGGATTCATAGTCAAGGTAGAGTATGTCATATGATTGTTCACTGTTCCTCCAAGGGGGTTGTCCATCTGTGTTCTCCAGGAAAAACTTGGTGATGCACAGCCGGTAGCATTGCATGTGAGTATAAGTGTTTCTCCAATCTGTGCAACGATTCTGTTAGCAGGTATAATCTCCATTTCAAAAGCTTTAACTACAATAGGGAGAACATACATAAACTCAGCAGCATTCTCAGCATTGATTTTCCCATTTCTTCTCATGTTCTACTGTGACAAGTTTACAGTTGTGTGGAGGTTAAACTAATAAAGCTCATGCAGGGGCTTACATTTCCAAAATACCCAATAAACATTGCTATTTTTGTCAAATACAGACACAGATGACTAACAAACAGTTCTCATCTATAAAATGGTATAAATCCAATGCTGTCAACAAAAATAAATGCATTGGATCTGGTTCAAAAACTTTGTAATATTTGAGGGGAGGGGTGGTAAGTAAGACAGCACAGACAACTGCAGAATCACTTTCAACGGGACATTTAATACTAAACTTGACTGATACTGTCAGGGATCACAGTAAAAATCAAACATGCAGAGATATACTGCAGTTGTCTCCTGGCCTGTCTTTTATCAAGCTCAATAAGAAAATGACTGTGTCATTGCAGAGCACAGAAGAGTTCAAAGTAAATGTCAAAAAAAAAAGTTTCCTGACATTTTGACAGAACTACTTCACTGACAGTTGTATTCACTGAAATGTAAAAGCAAATGGAACAAAGAGAAATAAAGATCAAATAGTAAATTGTAGGTCAGTTTACACTTAACAAAATTAAAAACATAAAGCAAACATCCCCCCCCCCCTCAACTTACCAGTCATTAACACATACAAAATTATTAGCACAGCTTGACTTGTTCTTCTCATCTGTTCTAACATTTGCAATTACTGTTACTAGGTAAAGAAAGTGAAATCAAAAGCCTTGCTTTCTATTTTCTGTGAAGAAGCACAATGAGATCCTGCCGCTCTGCAACAGTTTATTAGAATAGCTCCAGTGTGCTCTTTATAAAGTCTCTCGAGGTGGAGTGGGAAATCCCTGGACGGGGAAATCCAGAGCTGGGAGGAAGAAATCCATACCGGGCTGTGCTGGGGGGCTCAGCGCCCTCTGCTGCTTTTTTCAATAGAGAATTTAAAGCCCGCGGAAACAATGAATACTAACATCTATGATGCAGTGCCTGCTAGACTCAAAAAGACCAAGTCAAGATCTGATCCTGCAAACAACTGATTAAATGAAAGAATGTGGGTAATTCCAAGCAACTGAATGGCACTATATCTCAGATGGAAAAGTTATTGAAGTTTGTTTTCCGTGAAAATATTTATCTAGGGCTGAGTCTTGAAAATACTTCTAACTGCTCCATTCTGTAAATAACTTTAACTCAGTACTGCCTTTGAAAACTGTGCTACCAGTTTAAGAAGTGAAGTTATTCATGTCCCTAGGTATTTCTGATCCCTAAAAATGAAGAAATAAGTCAGATAACAGAAGTCTTGAGATCTGACTCAATAAACTTGAATCAGGCTCATCCTATTTGGATGAGTTGAATGAACTAATTTTCCCAATGCCACTTTAAAAAGTCCCTCTTTCAAGATGCTACTGCTTTGCATTACAGTACCGATATGCTTCTCAGACCTCTTATGTCCTGTTTATGCATAATTGATAATACAACTCCGGGATTATTTTCAGTATTTTGTTTTCAGTGGGTATATGAATCCAGTTTAGATTATTTCTAAGGACAGTTATTACTGGCTAATACAGTGACAATGTTATGAAAAAAGTAAAATAACATTTTCAGTGTTTAACTTTCAGTTGGGAAATGCTATGAATGCAAAGAATGGATAAAGGTTTCCAAATTTCAATTGTTTATTTATTCAACTACTTGAGTAGTTCATATTGGCCAATTATGAATCACTAAATAAAAGCAGCAAGAAATTAAAAACAAAACATGTATGTTTTTAAAATGACTCTGGCAAGTCATTTGGTATGTAATAGTTTGGTCATCTGATGTCTGCGAAATATTGTTGTCATATAGTATATTTTTTAAACAGCACAGATTCAAATATCTAGTAAATGAGTAATAACTTGGAGAAATAAGGGTGAAAAAACAATTCTGTAAATCCTAAAGAAATTTAATTGTTGAAATAGTTAATAACCTAATGTTAGCTCCAAAATACCATGTTCAGGTAATATTTTCCCACTGGCTTATAGGCAGCGTGTCTTCTTCAGAAACTTTTTTTTCTGCTTTTTCTTTGACTGCAGCTGCCCCTACATTTGCATCCTCATCAAAGAATAGTTGGATAGTATAGCTGCTACAGAAACACACTAGGTAAAATAAGAAGCATCAACCACTTTTTTCATACACTTATCATAAACTCATAAATGTAAAAGGAATGTAATGATCGTGGAAAGATAAAATTGTAATCTCAGGCAGAAAGTATGACTTCAAAATAATAACAACAAAAATATTCAGAAATATGATAAAACTAAGCAAGACAACCCAAGAATTAGCCCGAATATAACATGGAAATCTGAAGCACCTCCAATGCCTAATCGAAAGTTACTAAAGCAGTAAATCATTGAAACTGCCACAGTGGATTCTCCCCTTATATATTTTTTTTATTATCATCACCATTGTTTTTATTAGAGGAGGAGGAAGAAAAACCAATTCTCATAAGTCTCAGGAAATGCAGAATTCTGGAAATACTGTTATCAAATCCAGAAATCTAAAATCTATCCAGAGCAGTAAATAAATACTTTTAATCATAGGCAGAGAGAAACAAGAAGTGAAACTCTTCTGCCTTGACTTCTTAAATAATCATAGGCTAAGCTGAAGGAGAAAAGGCAAAATTTCCCTATTTCTGGGAAATCAGTTTCTAGACACAAAAAGATAAAATCACAGGAGTGCATATCCGCATGCTGGAAAAATCCTAATCAAGTCCTCCATCAGATAACATGAAATAGGAAATAACTCTGACCCAGCTCTCAGTAAATTAAACTGGACAGCTGCCATCAACTTTACTGGAATTGGACCCTTACCAGAGAGACTACTATACTGAGTGATACTACTTTAACTCAGATGGCATAAGTAAGAGCAGGGTTAGCCAACAAATATTATTAAAGGAAGTACAGATCTGCCAAGAAATTAAAAAAAAAATCTTAAAACTTGCTCTTCACCCAACTTCAGATGTGAGTCTTCTATATATTTAAAAAGAACGTGTACTTTACTGCTGCTCCTACTATCCACAGCATCAATCTGCAGATAGGAAAATGGATATCAAGTCTGCTTATTTTCAGAACTGGTTGGTCTGAAAAGAAGTAGAGATCAGCTGACGAGTTGTAGCATTTGACCTCGAGAGTTCAGATATTTATTGTTTTATTCAAACAACACAGAGGATGCTGGGCATAAAAATAGTGGATGCATCTAGATTCACAGTGAGATCAAGTATTATAGGATCAACTGGAATAAATCCTGACACCTGCAGAGTGTAATGAAGACTGGAGTGTAACAAGTATTACAAAAATATTACTAAAGGCAAAAGAGATTGAAAGAATTAAGCACTGGGATGAAAATATGTGTTTTCCAATACATCTAGTAATCAAAAGAGACTTTCCTTGAGCTCTGATGGACAAACAAAGATAAAACAATTGTGTGTCTCAGAAGGGAGTTAGAAAAAATCAAGCACATCATTTTTGGCCTGACATCAGAAAATACAAATGTCCTTCATGAAACTGAAACTTACTTCAGCCTTTTCTGGAATTTAAGAAAGAAAACCACTTCAGAACTGTGTTAAGCATTTGCTTTAACACATACTTCTACAACCCTACTAAGTACCTATATGATGAACTTCAATTAATGTCATCTAAGCAAAAGAGATTACAAATTCTTGATACCCTAAAAAATTATTTGAAAAAATTCACATTATCCAACATGTTAGTTATCCAACATTTCTAACCCTCTTCCCGCATCTTTAATGTACTGCAATGTCTCATGGAGGCTATTAGGGGAAAGCTGAAATGCTAAACCTCATGCAGAATTTGGTCTCTTAAAACCTTCACCACTGTTTTTTTGATTTATGGCCAAGGACCTATGGAGAAGAAGGCTAAACCTTCTCTTTTGTCAGAGAAGTTTTTTTTTTTTTAAAAAAAAGGTAGAAGGAAACTCATCTAATTTGACATCCTGTTTCCTGTGTCAGCAATAAAATGGCACTTCATCCCACTATCTGCATCAAGAGACATGATTTGGGATTTCTGCTAAAACTACTCAGTGCTGGAATAATAACTTCTATACAAGCTCCCAACTCAGAAACATATGCAACATGTTTATTACTAAGCATCTTTGTGTCCCATCAGCTTGAGAGGGCAGAATCCTTCTATGGAAGGCATGGCATTAAAGTGAAAAGATGCAGATAGGTCTGACTCAACAATTCTTCATCCTCAGATCACAGAGGTATTAAGTAAGCTCATACTTAGGTCCCCTATTCAAACTGCAGCCCTCAACTCACCTCATGAAAGATATCCATGGGATGTGCACTGGACATCTGAGTATAAGAAAGTTTCTTACAGAGTTTCTGATGCTTTAAGGAAGCAGTTGGGGTGAAGAGCTTTCACTCTACACAAAGAGTGTCTGATACCTCCACAGTATGATCATGCCCAAAGAATAAAAGCAAGTGGAATGTGCTGAAAATCAAATGAGTACTATTCTTGGAGGGAAAACATACCTGCATCAACAAAGAAGAAACGCCCTTCAGGCACCACATCCAAGGCAACACCTTGAGTATGGTTATATCTTAATCAAGTAACTGAAAAAACCCATGAACCTGGAGGACATGTTTGAATACTGTTGACTACATGGCTTATACAGCAGACAATGATCTGCCAGCCTCAAAATCATCAATTCTCAGCAACCTCAGCAGCCTGCTATATAGGTTATATAATGACTTTCCTTCCTCAGTGCCTACTGGCTTTTCCCTGGCCCTTAAGGAGGGTTTCCTTAACTCCCTCCACCTTCTTTCTCATCACCTGACAATAATACAATCTCTGTATAGCCCCCAAGAGGGGGAGGAGAGCATCACTGACTCCCTGTAATTTTCATCTCCGGATGGGAAGGATGAGATCTACATGCAGATCTATTTAAAGGGTTGTGTCTGTTTCAGGAATTGTAACTTTGTTCCTAGCTACAAAAAGAACACCAACGCATTACCCTGTAACCCACATCACACTTTACAATTGCACTCCACATATAACTTGACATCTATTAAAAAAAGGGAAAAAAGAAACAACTTAAGAAAGTTTTATCGTTTGATTCCTTCCTTTTTCTGGAATTTCTGAAATATTCTATATAAAAATAAATGCATCTACTTCCTTCATTACCTTTCTCAGGCATCAGCTCTCCAACTACAACATTTCCTGTTTGGTTAGTCTGAAGGCATCCAGAATCCAGAAAAGATGCCAGATAAAATAATACAGAAGTATGATAACTTGCATAGACTACAAATTAGCTAATTTCTTATTTTCCTCTATTCAGAGGCATTGTCTATTTCACTTCACAGAAGGAACAAGTTGTTCATCTAAAAAAGAAACAGAAGTCACTAGATAAAAAAGTCCCTACTTTTCATCTTTGTCTCTTGTTGCTGGCAAAAAAAAAAGCTGTGGAAATTCAAAATTTTATTTCTAAAAAAAAAAAAAAAGTATTATTTTAGTGATGGTGGATCTAAAAGTGAAACTGTTGAATAGCCTTTAAATCCACATACTTAGTGTCAAGTACTGTACTGTAAGCCAAAGTATTAGTTTGGATAGCTGAAGTTCTATTGTCTTCACAGTGACATATGTAGAAAAAGGTTCCCTTCTGAAATATTCTCCAGTGTATACCGAAAGCCAAATTCAAATATGAGCCTTGGAGTATTCAAAATCACTTTGGGAATTTTGAAGTGAGAGTTCAGACCTACTTTTATTTTGAGCCAAATATACTGAGACATGTCAAAGTCATTTGTTCTTACTGGAATTACAGAT